ACTAAACGGTGCGTCTATTATGGACTGTTTGTACTTTCCCTCTTTTTCCATATCTCTGACGTAGGGAGAAATCTGCTCCCGAGCCAAACGGGCCACTAGATTTTGAAACAAACAATGACAATAAAGTTGATCTCGCAGCACATGAATAGCCAATATTAAGTCGTGTCGTGTACAATTTTTTCCAAAATAATACCTTACCCGTTTGCTTCATTACATTTTCGTCGTCACTTAGTAGCGTTAAAGGTAAGTGACCTTCAAAATTTTAGATATTGTTATGAAGGGTGCCCGCTGTGCAAAAAAAGCGCCTTGTGTGGGGCTAAAACGAAGAGAGTTATTTGCGAAATGTAAAATAATTGTCAGTATACTCTTTTGAAAATACTTAGCAGTGTATTCATTTTTATACAAATGAGGTACTACGTGTTTGTCGTTGAAGTGCAAAAAGTACTTTGAACACCCTTGCAGCAGTGCCGCAATTTAACTTTGTTAGATAGCGGTACGTACATTGTCATGGTAATCGAAGTCACTTTAAACGTTTCGTTATCTTGAAATGATACGATGGTAAATTTATGACAATATTGATAAAGACGGACGCTAGTAAAGGGAAAATAGCATATAAAAAAAGTGTCTCTATTTCGTTTGGAACGAAAATTAGGAAAATCGCGGGAAATAAAGTAGCTTTAGCGGTGCTCAACAGCGATTGTGGCTATATAAAATTAATTTTTCCAATTTCTACTAATATAATGCTCATTTTGTATGTTAAATCTCGCTATTAAAACAATAGTTTAATCGAAACGATGAATAAAATGTTTATAGCAACACTTTATTCACACTGTCATTGACAACACGAATAAAGTAAAAAATCTAAAAATTCGGACTACCACTGAAATTTTCGTTGCTGTGGATGTGTGGATATTCAACTAAAATTTGCAAGGCTTGATAGACCATCGAACGGGACAATTTTACGATAATTTACAAAATCAACATATTTCGACACGAAAAGAACAGATTTTAATTTACACACTTTCTGGTAATTAATCAAGCCACACTTGATGAACTTGCAGCTGTCTAAATGTGACTTACGATAATACAGAAGCGGACTTTCAATTGTCAAACTGCCAAAAGGAGATTTGTTTACTTACTTCATTATTCAAAATTCAAAAAGATGATTTTGAGGGATGCCATCAGGCAAGATAGAAGACAACTGGTCTAGACGATATAAAAAAAAATTAAAGTGCCACTTATACAACTCTACATTTGCCAACCAAGCTTGAAAAATAATGCATCGAATGGGACAAGTTTACGATAATTTACAAAATAAACATATTTCGACACGAAAAGACTACATTTTAGTGTTTTACAAATTCTGGTAATTTTAATCAAGCCCGGCATGATGACCCTATAGTTGTGTAAACGTGCTTTAAGGATAATACAGAAACCGAAGTTTGCCAAAAAGAGATTTGTTTACTTACTTGAATTATTCTAAGTTCAATAGTAGTATTTGTAAAGAGAAGACTGATTTTGGCCAATGATATTTCCACCATGAAAACGGAGGGTGGGTGGGTGGGGCTAGTACTTCCTAAGATACGACTGATTTTGGCAAATCATATACCCTCAAAGCAAATAACGGGTGGGTGAGATAAGACTGATTTTGGCCAATGATATATCGTCCAAGAACGTAAAGGGCGTGTGGGTGGGGCTAGTATTTGTAAAGATAAAACTTATTTTGGCCAATGTCATACTCACCATGGAAACGGAGGGCGGGGCTAATACTTCCTAAGATATGGTGGTTATATCATTGGCCAAAAATCAGTCGTATATTAGGAAGTACTAGCCCCGCCCACCCGCCCTCCCTTTTCATGGAGGGTATATCATTGGACAAAATCAGTCTTACTTTTTTTGCCCCTTTCTCTGTATACCTCAATTTTTCTCAATGTGCCCTTCTTTTGACGTATATGCCGCACCCCCACCCTCTTTTTCCCTGTTTTCTCTTAGAATTAAATTTTTTGTGAAATCCTCAAAATTGTATATTATATTACTTACCGCTCCCACTCTACAGAAGACCATATAACTAACCCCGCCCACCCACCCGCCCCCATTTCGGTGATTAATTTTTTCTGCTCTGAATAAAAGGTGGATCTTATACAGAAATAAAATTAGTCGCTAGAATGAGTAGAGGGAGGGTGGGCGGGGCTAGTACTTGTCAAGATAACACTGATTTTGCAAGTCACATAGCTCTGAGAAAATAGAGGGTGGGTGGGTGGGGCTAGCTCTTGTAACTACGATTAGCGCTTTTTTTACAGCCTTATTTCTATCAGTTACCACTTCCACTCTAAGGAACGGATAATAAATCCCACCCACCCACCCGCCTCTATTTCAGTCATTAATTTTATATAAAAAAATTGTGCTACCGAAATTTATTGTAGCAGAAAGGAGACGAAATTTTTGGCCAATGACATACCCACCATGAAAACGGAGGGCGGGTGGGCGGGGCTAGTACTTCCTAAGATAGGGTGGATATATCATTGGCCAAAATCAGTCTTATCTTTGAAAATACTAGCCCCACCCACCCGCCCTTTATTTGCTTTGAGGGTATATGATTGCCAAAATCAGTCGCATCTTTTTTCATTTTTACAATTTCTGGTAATTTTAATCAAGCCCGGCATGATGACCCTACAGTTGTGTAAATGTGCCTTAAGGATAATACAGAAACGGAACTTTGCTTGTCCAACTGCCAACTGCAAATTTGTTTACTTACTTGAATTATTCAAAGTTCAAAAAAATGATTTTGAGGAATCAGGCAAAATAGAAGATAACTGGTCTACAAGATGCAAAAATATTTTAAAGTGCCGCTTACACAGCTCTATACTGGCCAACCAAGCTTGAAAAATAATCAACTGAACGGGACAATTGTACAATAATTTACAAAATCAACATATTTCGACACGAAAAGATTAGATTTTAATTTTCAGTTTCTGGTAATCAATCATGCCAGACTTGATGAACTTACAGCTGTGTACATGTGACTTAAGATAACACAGAAACGAAACTTTGATTGTCAAACTGCCAAAAGGAGATTTGTTTATTTGTTTGATTATTAATAACAGTTAACAAAATTTTCAGGAGATTAATAATTGCCGCACTTTATCAACGATTCAAACAAAGAGTTTACTTCAAAAAAACAATTTACTTTGAGAGTTTAAAATACCGCGAACTGGTTACCCCAACGAAACACATAATAAACAAACACAAAAGTATCCAATCATCGCTCCGAGGGAAAAAGCGTCTCGGTGAAGTAATCAATCTGTAGCGTTGTGAGGGCATGCCTTGATAAATTAATCAGTCTGTAGCGTTGTAAGGCATGCCCCGATGAATTAATCATGATAACGATGATAACCGCCAAAGGGAAGAAAACATTTTAAACCCCTCCCGCCAGTTCGCAGTATAATGAACTTGTTTAACTGCCGTAAATGAACTATTAGCAATCTTGTGTGAAGAATTTAGAAGTGTTATAATGTAACACTTACGTATATGCATCCAGAGACCTATTCGTAATTAAACTAGGTGTTTTTCCTGACTAAGTGAATTTCATGAAACCTTCTAGCAAGTGGCTTATTTAAATAATCCCGATTACTAAACTGTGTTTGCACCAGCTGACTATTAAGAAAAACTAACTTGATTGGTGAATTTACAAACAATGAAACAAATTTACAGCACGTGTCTCGCGTCGACCGGAAGTCCGCATTTCTCCGATTAAAAGGGCGCAAGAGTTAACCGCGCGGGTTGGGGACAACGGTGCCATTATGAAAGTTACGACTGTCGTTAAACAAAGGCTTCCTTCCATTTCATTAACTACCAAACCAACTAATTTAAACCTAGCGCTTACCAAGTGTTTACACTCACACCAGCACATTCATAATGACGCTACGCCATGCAGCTTCTCTACTAACCCACCAACCCTCCAACTAAAAACTCTCTAGCGCTCAATTGTCACACTACCCTGCAAGCGTCACCGTGCATCTGGTTGCCTATGTTTAACGATTCCTTTTTGTGATTGATTTTTTTTTCTTTTTCAAATTTAAATTTTTCAAATGTGATTTCGCGCCGCTGTTAATTAATCTCAGCGCGAAAACTTTTTTTCAAATAACCTCAATTTTTTTTTCACAACGCACCACATTTAAGACATAAAACAAGGAATAAAACACCAACAACAGTAAAATTTTATTGTTTGTACAACTTCTCCAAATGTTTAGCAATCGTATTCAGCTGCATGTTGTACGTCCCCTCATAAATGCTCCCGATTTTCACATCTCGGTAGAACTTCTCTTGGATAAAATCTTGACTGAACCCAACACCTCCCATCCAGTCTATACACTTGATGCAAGTCTGCTGGGCAACGTCGGCTGAGTACCATTTGGCCATTGCAGCTTGCATGGTAAAAGCTTCCCCGGCTTCTACCAGTCGAGCCGCGTTATACACCAGCATTCTCGCAGCCTCAATCTGGGTTGCTATGGTAGCAATTTGGTGTTGCATACCCTGTAGAACCCAAAATGACTACCATCACTACCCACAATCAAACCTGAAGTACCTGGAAGCTAAAAACCGGTTTTCCGAACTGGGTTCTTTCCATAAGGTACGGAATAGTGCCATCGAAGCACCCCTGCGCCAACCCTATCATCTGCGCACCAACGCCAATTCGACTTTCGTTTAGAAATCCAGCGGCGACTTTGTACCCTTTGCCGTATTCACCCAGGATGGCGGTTTTGGGAACGCGGACGTTGTCGAAGGTGAGCATGCAAGTACCAGAAGAACGCATGCCTAGTTTTTTTTCTGGGATTGCGATGGTGAGACCGGGGGTGGTTCTGTCGACTAGGAAGCAAGTGATGCCTTTGTACCCCTAGGGTTGTGGGTTTAGATGGGTTAGAGTTAGAGGGTGTACCTACCGCTGAAGGGTTCGCATTGGCCATTACCAGGAAGAGTCCTGCTATGTCCGCGCTGGATATTCACATTTTGGACCCATTGAGGAGGAAATCGGAGCCGTCTGGTGTGGCGGTTGTTTTTAAGGAAAATGCGTCCGAACCGGCTGCGGATTCAGTTAGGGCGAAACTGCCGATCTAAAAGGTCACTTTGAGATTGACAACTGGTTTCTAGATGGTTTTCAGCGAAATAATCGAACATACTTACCATGTTTGATGCTAATTGGGGCAAATACGTTTTTTTCTGCTCGTTGGTTCCCAATTTTTTGATTACGTTGTTTATAAGAGTGTTCTGAATTTCCACGAACACAGCAACTGCGGGATCCACTTTCGAAATTTCCTCAATGGTCAATATTGTGGTTATAAAATTACACGCGGTACCTCCATATTCGGTGCCAATTTGGATCCCCATTAACTATAAACGTGGTGTTAAAATAAACCACTTTGTGATAGAAAATATTTTTTACGCCATTACTAAACAGTGCGTCTATTATGGACTGCTTGTACTTTCCCTCTTTTTCCATATCTCTGACGTAGGGAGATATCTGCTCCCGAGCCAAACGGGCCACTAGATTATGAAAGAAACAATGACAACAAAGTTGACCTCGCAGCACATGAATAGCAAATATTAAGTCGTGTTGTGTACAAGTTTTTCCAAAATAATACTTTACCCGTTTGCTTCATCACATTTTCGTCGTCTCTTAGTAGCGTTAAAGGTAAGTGACCTTCAAAATTTTCGATATTGTGATGAAGTGTGCCCACTGTGGAAAAAAAGCGCCTTGTGTGGGGCTAAAACGAAGACAGTTATTTGCGAAATGTAAAATAATTGTCAGTATACCCTTTTGAAAATACTTAGCAGTGTATTCATTTTTGTACAAGTGAGGTACTACGTGTTTGTCGTACAAGTGCAAAAAGTACTTTGAACACCCTTGCAGCAGTGCACTAATTTAACTTTGTTAGATAGCAGTACGTACATTGTCATGATAATCGAAGTCACTTTAAACGTTTCGTTATCTTGAAATGATACGATGGTAAATTTATGACAATATTGATAAAAACGGCATATAAAAAGTGTCCCTATTTCGTTTGGAACGAAAATTAGGAAAATCGCGGGAAATAAAGTAGCTTTAGCGGTGCTCAACAGCGATTGTGGCTATATAAAATTAATTTTTCCAATTTCTACTAATAAAGTGCTCATTTTGTATGTTAAATCTCGTTATTAAAACAATAGTTTAATCGAAAGGATGAATAAAATGTTTTTTCACTAGCAGCCAGGACGCATGCAAATGTCGACTCATTTAGTGGTAGCAAATTCAACTTTTGCTACCACGGGTTCAAAAAGTAAAATTGAGGTTATGTACGCAATGTTTGATGTGATTATTTCTTAAAAAATGAACAAATGTGTGCTACAAACATTACTTGAGTATACGCATGGTAGTTGGTAGACGGTAGAAGATAAAATGATTAACTCAGCGACAAGTATAAACGGTTTTCTTTGTGTTGAAGATTTAGATTAAGTTTGATTAGAAATCAAAACAAAATCATGTTGCGTCAAAAAATTGAACGTTTATTTTTTCAATTTATTGTCTTACGGTTTCTACTAGTGAAAAAAATAGTATATTAACCACGGTTGCAAAGCCACTTCTAGACCTCGCGCTTCAGAGCCCTCGACGCTGCGCGTCTCGGGTTCTAATTTCCGCTCGGTCTAGAATGCTTGGCCTTGCAACCTTGGCTAATAATATACTATTTTCGCCAGCCGTCTTAAAAGATGTCACTTTTAACGTCAATTTTGGACGGAAAACTTGACGTTTTTGTGAGAGTAAAAAAAAGTTGCGTTACTAAAGTAACAACGTCATTTTTGCCTTTTTAATCCTAGCATTAATTTTTTTTTTAATCCTAGCCTTAAAAAGTTTTCAATTGTTTTATTTTGAGAATGAAATGCTATTAATATTTTCCAATTTTATTATTAACTTACATTGTTATTAATTATTTAAATTTTAAAATTAATATTGAATGTACAATAAGAACAACTGCGATTGATTTGGATTAAAGATTTTTCGTCACTATTATCATTTTTCATGCGGTCAGTAATAATATTTTGCGCTAACACTTCTACCGCTCCTGCTGTCTGGTTGGTCACAGTGTCAAAATTCAGGTTTACTGCTCCCACATTCCTACTTATTCCGTCTTCACGTGTGATCATTCTATTCGTAGTTCCACTACTTGTACCTGATTCTTCTAGGTTTACTTCGCTCACATTCCTATTCGTTGCGTCTTCATGTATTTTACTTGTGGTTTCACTACTTGTACCTGGTTCTTCCAAACGAAAAATTTTTTTTGCTACATCTTTTTTGTGTTTAAGAGACTCTTCTATGTAACCTTCGGCTACACTGTCAGATTTCCACCCACCGTGCCTCTTGAGGGACGTAATATCACCGCCAGAATCCACAAAAAGCGTGGCAGAAGTCCGACGTAGGCAATGTCCGCTGTATTCTTTAAAGTTTTCTAGCTTTAAATATTTGGCTACTTCTTGGGGTACACCACTAATTTTATGAATGCCAACTACTTGTCGATGGCACATTCCGTCGACATATTTAATAAAAAACCGACCTTCATTAAACATTTTTGGACGAAGCGCAACATACTTTTCGTAAAATTTCAAATACTTTTCCCCCATAACCGTAAATGATCTGGGTTTTTTCGTTTTGGTATCAGGAATTTTTACCAATAAACCTGCTTTAATATTTTCAATATCTTCAGTTTTTATTTGTAATAGTTCGTGACACCGACAAGCTCCGCTAACGCCAAAGATTACAACAATCTGAAAAAAATTCGTAAAATAAATATAAGCTCTTCATTAGGTTATAAACATACTTTCATCATCAGGAATTTGAAATCCGGAGCCGTGTCTAAGAAAACTTCTATTTGTTCATTAGTTAAAACCCTTGATTTCTTTGGAACGTATCCTTCTCCTTGTTTCTTTATAAACGCTTTTAATTTTGAATACTTTCCGATTTCTATGCCATTTTTTATATTTAAAGTTGCTTTCACCATGGAATACTGCGACCACAGTGTGGATGACTTCATTTTTGTAGCCAATTCGGAAAAATATACCAATAGGACGTTCTCAGAATAAGTTTGAATCTTTTTCCCTTCGCACCATTTGATGAAGCGGGTATACGCGCACTCATACACTTCGCGCGATTTTGTTGGTAACAAGTTCAGTACCACGTTTTGTGCTTCTTCTAGCACATCGGGAGGTAACTCTTCTTCAGGATTCATTATTAACACTGCAAACGTTTTCACAAAACAATGGTATGTAAGCAAACAAAAAAAGCCTTGACGACGTGGATACCAGACTACTTTGCAGATTGATTCATTTCTGCTCGATATTATTGTTATCAATATTTTGTATTTTTGAGATTTACTTTTTGGCTGGCGAAAAAGTAGTATGTTTCATTCGGATTAAAAGTCAGTTTTTGACTCGCAATTTTGCATCCGCTCGTCTTCGCTTCGCTCCGCCTCGCAAATGCAAAATTTGCTCGTCGCAAAAAATGGCACTTTTAATCCTAATAAAACAATCTACTATTATAGCAACACTTTATTCACACTGTCATTGACAACACGAATAAAGTAAAAAATCTAAAAATTCGAACTACCACTGAAATTTTCGTTGCTATGGATGTGTGGATATTCAACTAAAATTTGCAAGGTTTGATAGACCATCGAACGGGATAATTTTACGATAATTTACAAAATCAACATATTTCGACTTTCGACACGAAAAGAACAGATTTTAATTTACACACTTTCTGGTAATTAATCAAGCCACACTTGATGAACTTGCAGCTGTGTAAATGTGACTTACGATAATACAGAAGCGGACTTTCGATTGTCAAACTGCCAAAAGGAGATTTGTTTACTTACTTCATTATTCAAAATTCAAAAAGATGATTTTGAGGGATGCCATCAGGCAAGATAGAAGATAACTGGTCTAGACGATATAAAAAAAATTTAAAGTGCCGCTTATACAACTCTACATTTGCCAACCAAGCTTGAAAAATAATGAATCTAATGGGACAAGTTTACGATAATTTACAAAATAAACATATTTCGAGATGAAAAGACTACATTTTAGTTTTTTACAGTTTCTGGCAATTTTAATCAAACCCGGCATGATGACCCTATAGTTGTGTAAACGTGCTTTAAGGATAATACAGAAACCGAAGTTTGCCAAAAAGAGATTTGTTTACTTACTTGAATTATTCTAAGTTCAAAAGTAGTATTTGTAAAGAGAAGACTGATTTTGGCCAATGATATATCCACCATGAAAACGGTGGGTGGGTGGGCGGGGCTAGTACTTCCTAAGATACGACTGATTTTGGCAAATCATATACCCTCAAAGCAAATAACGGGTGGGTGGGTGGGGCTATTATTTGTAAAGATCAGACTGACTTTGGCCAATGATATAACGTCTAAGAAAATAAAGGGCGGGTGGGTGGGGCTAGTATTTGTAAAGATAAAACTTATTTTGGCCAATGTTATACTCACCATGAAAACGGAGGGCGGGGCTAGTACTTCCTAAGATATGGTGGATATATCATTGGCCAAAATCAGTTGTACCTTAGGAAGTACTAGCCCCGCCCACCCGCCCTCCCTTTTCATGGAGGGTATATCATTGGCCAAAATCAGTCTTACTTTTTTTGCCCCTTTCTCTGTATACCTCAATTTTTTTCAATGTGCCCTTCTTTTGACTTATATGCCGCACCGCCACCCTCTTTTTTCCCTGTTTTCTCTTAGAATTAAATTTTTATGATGTCCTCAATATTGTATATTATATTACTTACCACTCCCACTCTACAGAAGAGCATATAACTAACCCCGCCCACCCACCCGCCTCCATTTCGGTGATCAATTTTTTCTGCTCTGAATAAAAGGTGGATCTTATACAGAAATAAAATTAGTCGCTAGAATGAGTAGAAGATAACACTGATTTTGCAAGTCACATAGCTCTAAGAAAATAGAGGGTGGGTGGGTGGGGCTAGCTCTTGTAACTACGATTAGCGCTTTTTTTACAGGCTTATTTCTATCAGTTACCACTCCCACTCTAAGGAACAGATAATAAATTCCACCCACCCACCCGCCTCTATTTCAGTGATTAATTTTATATAAAAAAATAGTGCTACCGAAATTTATCGCAGCAGAAAGGAGACGAAATTTTTGGCCAATGATATACCCACCATGAAAACGGAGGGCGGGTGGGCGGGGCTAGTACTTCCTATGATAGGGTGGATATATCATTGGCCAAAATGAGTCTTATCTTTACAAATACTAGCCCCACCCACCCGCCCTTTATTTGCTTTGAGGGTATATGATTTGCCAAAATCTTAGTAATAGAAGCCCCGCCCACCCGTCCTCCATTTTCTTAGAGGGTATATCATTTGTCAAAATCAATCTTATCTTTACAAATATTAGCCCCACCCACCCGCTCTTTATTTGCTTTGAGGGTATATGATTGCCAAAATCAGTCGTATCTTTTTTCATTTTTACAGTTTCTGGTAATTTAAATCAAGCCCGGCTTGATGACCCTACAGTTGTGTAAATGTGCCTTAAGGATAACACAGAAACGGAACTTTGCTAGTCCAACTGCCAACTGCAAATTTGTTTACTTACTTGAATTATTCAAAGTTCAAAAAAATTATTTTGAGGAATGCAATCAGGCAAAATAGAAGATAACCGGTCTACAAGATGCAAAAATATTTTAAAGTGCCGCTTATACAGCTCTATACTGGCAAACCAAGCTTGAAAAATAATTAACTGAACGGGACAATTGTACAATAATTTACAAAATCAACATATTTCGACACGAAAAGATTAGATTTTAATTTTCAGTTTCTGGTAATCAATCAAGCCAGACTTGATGAACTTACAGCTGTGTACATGTGACTTTAAGATAATACAGAAACGGAACTTTGATTGTCAAACTGCCGAAAGGAGATTTGTTTATTTATTTGATTATTAATAACAGTTAACAAAATTTTCAGGAGATTAATAATTGCCACACTTTATCAACGATTCAAACAAAGAGTTTACTTCAAAAAAACAATTTACTTTGAGAGTTTAAAATACCGCGAACTAGTTACCCCAACAAAACACATAATAAACAAACACAAAAATATCCAATCATCGCTCCGAGGGAAAAAGCGTCTCGGTGATGTAATCAATCTGTAGCGTTGTGAGGGCATGCCTTGATAAATTAATCAGTCTGTAGCGTTGTAAGGCATGCCCCGATGAATTAATCATGATAACGATGATAACCGCCTAAGGGAAGAAAACATTTTAAACCCCTCCCGCCAATTCGCAGTATTGTGTAACTGCCGTAAATGAACTGTTAGCAATCTTGTGTGAAGAATTTAAAAGTGTTATAATGTAACACTTACGCATATGCATCCAGAGACCTATTCGTAATTAAACAAGCTGTTTTCCTGACTAAGTGAATTTCATGAAATCTTCTAGCAAGTGGTTTATTTAAACAATCCTGATTGCTAAACTGTGTTCGCACTAGCTGACTATTAAGAAAAACTAACTTGATTGGTGAATTTACAAACAATGAAACAAATTTACAGCACGTGTCTCGCGTCGACAGGAAGTCCGCATTTCTCCGATTAAAAGGGCGCAAGAATTAACCGCGCGGGTTGGGGACAACGGTGCCATTATGAAAGTTACGATTGATTGTCGTTAAACAAAGGCTTCCTCCCATTTTATTAACTATCAAACCAACTAATTTAAACCTAGCGCTTACCACGTGTTTGCACTCACACCAGCACATTCTTAATGACGCTACGCCATGCAGCTTCTCTACCAACCAGCCAACCCTCTAACTAAAAACTCCCTAGCGCTAAATTGTCACGCTATCCTGCAAGCGTCACCGTGCATCTGGTTGCCTATGCTTAACGATTCCTTTTTGTGATTGATTGATTTTTTTATTTTTCAAATTTAAATTATTCAAATGTGATTTCGCGCCGCTGTTAACTAATCTCAGCGCGAAAACTTTTTTACACATAACCTCAATTTTTTTTCACAACGCACCACATTTGAGACATAAAACAAGGAATAAAACACCAACAACAGTAAAATTTTATTGTTTGTACAACTTCTCCAAATGTTTAGCAATCGTATTCAGCTGCATGTTGTACGTCCCCTCATAAATGCTCCCGATTTTCACATCCCGGTAGAACTTTTCCTGGATAAAATCTTGACTGAACCCAACACCTCCCATCCAGTCTATACACTTGATGCAAGTCTGCTGGGCAACGTCAGCTGAGTACCATTTGGCCATTGCAGCTTGCATGGTAAAAGCTTCCCCGGCTTCTACCAGTCGAGCCGCGTTATACACCATCATTCTCGCAGCCTCAATCTGGGTTGCTATAGTAGCAATTTGGTGTTGCATACCCTGTATAAACCCAAAATGAGTACCATCACTACTCACAATCAAACCTGAAGTACCTGGAAGCTAAAAACCGGTTTTCCGAACTGGGTTCTTTTCATAAGGTACGGAATAGTGGCATCGAAGCAACCCTGCGCCAACCCTATCATCTGCGCACCAACGCCAATTCGACTTTCGTTTAGAAATCCAGCGGCAATTTTGTACCCTTTGCCGTATTCACCCAGGATGGCGGTTTTGGGAACGCGGACGTTGTCGAAGGTAAGCATGCACGTACCAGAAGAGCGCATGCCGAGTTTTTTTTCTGGGATTGCGATGGTGAGACCGGGGGTGGTTCTGTCGACTAGGAAGCAAGTGATGCCTTTGTACCCCTAGGGTTGTGGGTTTAGATGGGTTAGAGTTTGAGGGTGTACCTACCGCTGAGGGGTTCGCATTGGCCATTACCAGGAAGAGTCCTGCTATGTTCGCGCTGGATATCCACATTTTGGACCCATTGAGGACGAAATCGGAGCCGTCTGGTGTGGCGGTTGTTTTTAGGGAAAACGCGTCGGAACCGGCTGTGGATTCAGTTAGGGCGAAACTGCCGATCTAGAAGGTCACTTTGAGATTGACAACTGGTTTCTAGACGGTTTTCAGCGAAATAATTGAACATACTTACCATGTTTGATGCTAATTGTGGCAAATAAGTTTTTTTCTGCTCGTTGGTTCCCAATTTTTTGATTACGTTGTTTATAAGAGTGTTCTGAATTTCCACGAACACAGCAACTGCGGGATCCACTTTCGAAATTTCCTCAATGGTCAATATTGTGGTCATAAAATTACAGGCGGCACCTCCATATTCGGTGCCAATTTCGATCCCCATTAACTGTAAACGTGGTGTTAAAATAATCCACTTTGTGATGGAAAATGTTTTTTACGCCATTACTAAACAGTGCGTCTATTATGGACTGTTTGTACTTTCCCTCTTTTTCCATATCTCTGACGTAGGGAGATATCTGCTCCCGAGCCAAACGGGCCACTAGATTATGAAACAAACAATGACAACAAAGTTGATCTCGCAGCACACGAATAGCAAATATTAAGTCGTGTTGTGTACAATTTTTTCCAAAATAATACTTTACCCGTTTGCTTCATCACATTTTCGTCGTCTCTTAGTAGCGTTAAAGGTAAGTGACCTTCAAAATTTTCGATATTGTTATGAAGGGTGCCCACTGTGGAAAAAAAGCGTCTTGTGTGGGGCTAAAACGAAGACAGTTATTTGCGAAATGTAAAATAATTGTCAGTATACCCTTTTGAAAATACTTAGCAGTGTATTCATTTTTGTACAAATGAGGTACTACGTGTTTGTCGTACAAGTGCAAAAAGTACTGTGAACACCCTTGCAGCAGTGCAGTAATTTAACTTTGTTAGATTGCAGTACGTACATTGTCATGATAATCGAAGTCACTTTAAACGTTTCGTTATCTTGAAATGGTACGATGGTAAATTTATGACAATATTGATAAAAACGGGTGCTATTAAAGGGAAAACAGCATATAAAAAGTGTCCCTATTTCGTTTGGAACGAAAATTAGGAAAATCGCGGGAAATAAAGTAGCTTTAGCGGTGCTCAACAGCGATTGTGGCTATATAAAATTAATTTTTCCAATTTCTACTAATAAAATGCTCATTTTGTATGTTAAATCTCGCTATTAAAACAATAGTTTAATCGAAAGGATGAATAAAATGTTTATAGCAACACTTTATTCACACTGTCATTGACAACACGAATAAAGTAAAAAATCTAAAAATTCGGACTACCACAGAAATTTTCGTTGTTATGGATGTGTGGATATTCAACTAAAATTTGCAAGGCTTGATAGACCATCGAACGGGACAATTTTACGATAATTTACAAAATCAACATATTTCGACACGAAAAGAACAGATTTTAATTTACACACTTTCTGGTAATTAATCAAGCCACACTTGATGAACTTGCAGCTGTGTAAATGTGACTTACGATAATACAGAAGCGGACTTTCGATTGTCAAACTGCCAACAGGAGATTTGTTTACTTACTTCATTATTCAAAATTCAAAAAGATGTTCTTGAGGAATGCCATCAGACAAGATAGAAGATAACTGGTATCGACGATATAATAAAAATTTAAAGTGCCACTTATACAACTCTACCTTTGGCAACCAAGCTTGTAAAATAATGAATCGAATGGGACAATTTTACGATAATTTACAAAATAAACATATTTCGACACGAAAAGACTACATTTTAGTTTTTTACAGTTTCTGGTAATTTTAATGAAGCCCGGCATGATGACCCTATAGTTGTGTAAACGTGCTTTAAGGATAATACAGAAACCGAAGTTTGCCTGTCCAACTGCCAAAAAGAGATTTGTTTACTTACTTGAATTATTCTAAGTTCAAAAGTAGTATTTGTAAAGAGAAGACTGATTTTGGCCAATGATATATCCACCATGAAAACGGAGGGCGGGTGGGCGGGGCTAGTACTTCCTAAGATAGGGTGGATATATCATTGGCCAAAGTCAGTCGTACCTTAGGAAGTACTAGCCCCGCCCACCCGCCCTCCCTTTTCATGGAGGGCATATCATTGGCCAAAATCAGTCTTACTTTACATATACTATCCCCACCCACCCACCCTTTATTTGCTTTGAGGATATATGATTTACCAAAATCAGTCGTATCTTAGGAAGTACTAGCCCCGCCCACCCGCCCTCCCTTTTCATGGAGGGTATATCATTGGACAAAATCAGTCTTACTTTTTTTGCCCCTTTCTCTGTATACCTCAATTTTTCTCAATGTGCCCTTCTTTTGACGTATATGCCGCACCCCCACCCTCTTTTTTCCCTGTTTTCTCTTAGAATTAAATTTTTTATGAAATCCTCAAAACTGTATATTATATTACTTACCACTCCCACTCTACAGAAGAACATATAACTAACCCCGCCCACACACCCGCCTCCATTTCGGTGATTAATTTTTTCTGCTCTGAATAAAACGTGGATCTTGTACAGAAATAAAATTAGTCGCTAGAATGAGTAGGGGGTGGGTGGGCGGGGCTAGTATTAGTCAAGATAACACTGATTTTGCATGTCACATAGCTCTAAGAAAATAGAGGTTGGGTGGGTGGGGCTAGCTCTTGTAACTACGATTAGCACTTTTTTTACAGCCTTATTTCTATCAGTTACCACTCCCATTCTAAGGAACAGATAATAAATCCCACCCACCCACCCGCCTCTATTTCAGTCATTAATTTTATATAAAAAAATAGTGCTACCGAAATTTATTGCAGCAGAAAGGAGACGAAATTTTTGGTCAATGACATACCCACCATGAAAACAGAGGGCGGGTGGGCGGGGCTAGTACTTCCTAAGATAGGGTGGATATATATCATTGGCGAAAATGAGTCTTATCTTTACAAATACTAGCCCCACCCACCCGCCCTTTATTTGCTTTGAGGGTATATGATTGCCAAAATCAGTCGTGTCTTTTTTCATTTTTACAGTTTCTGGTAATTTTAATCAAGCCCGGCTTGATGACCCTACAGTTGTGTAAATGTGCCTTAAGGATAACACAGAAACGGAACTTTGCTAGTCCAACTGCTAACTGCAAATTTGTTTACTTACTTGAATTATTCAAAGTTCAAAAAAATGATTTTGAGGAATGCAATCAGGCAAAATGGAAGATAACTGGTCTACAAGATGCTAAAATATTTTAAAGTACCGCTTATACAGCTCTATACTGCCCAACCAAGCTTGAAGAATAATTAACTGAACGGGACAATTGTACAATAATTTACAAAATCAACATATTTCGACACGAAAAGATTAGATTTTAATTTTCAGTTTCTGGTAATCAATCAAGCCAGACTTGATGAACTTATAGCTATGTACATGTGACTTAAGATAATACAGAAACGGAACTTTGATTGTCAAACTGCCAAAAGGAGATTTGTTTACTTATTTGATTATTAATAACAGTTAACAAAATTTTCAGGAGATTAATAATTGCCACACTTTATCAACGATTCAAACAAAGAGTTTACTTCAAACAAACAATTTATTTTGAGACTTTAAAATACCGCGAACTGGTTACCCCAACAAAACACATAATAAACAACCAACTAATTTAAACCTAGCGCTTAGTACGTGTTTACACTCACACCAGCACATTCATAATGACGCTACCCCATGCAGCTTCTCTACCAACCAAGCAACCCTCTAACTAAAAACTCGCTAGCACTAAATTGTCACGCTACCCTGCAAGCGCTACCGTGCATCTGGTTGCCTATGTTTAATGATTCCTTTTTGTGATTGATTTTTTTATTTTTCAAATTTAAATTATTCATATGTGATTTCGCGCCGCTGTTAATTAATCTCAGCGCGAAAACTTTTTTACAAATAACCTCAATTTTTTTTTGACAACGCACCACATTTGAGACATAAAACAAGGAATAAAACACCAACAACAGTAAAATTTTATTGTTTGTACAACTTCTCCAAATGTTTAGCAATCGTATTCAGTTGCATGTTGTACGTCCCTTCATAAATGCTCCCGATTTTCACATCCCGGTAGAACTTTTCCTGGATAAAATCTTGACTGAACCCAACACCTCCCATCCAGTCTATACACTTGATGCAAGTCTGCTGGGCAACGTCAGCTGAGTACCATTTGGCCATAGCAGCTTGCATGGTAAAAGGTTCTCCAGCTTCTACCAGTCGAGCCGCGTTATACACCAGCATTCTCGCGGCCTCAATCTGGGTCGCTATGGTAGCAATTTGGTGTTGCATACCCTGCAGAAACCCAAAATGAGTACCATCACTACCCACAATCAAACCTGAAGTACCTGGAAGCTAAAAACCGGTTTTCCGAACTGGGTTCTCTCCATAAGGTACGGAATAGTGGCATCGAAGCACCCCTGCGCCAACCCTATCATCTGCGCACCAATGCCAATTCGACCTTCGTTTAGAAACCCAGCGGCGATTTTGTACCCTTTGCCGTATTCACCCAGGATGGCGGTTTTGGGAACGCGGACGTTGTCGAAGGTGAGCATGCACGTACCAGAAGAGCGCATGCCGAGTTTTTTTTCTGGGATTGCGATGGTGAGACCGGGGGTCGTTCTGTCAACTAGGAAGCAAGTGATGCCTTTGTAGCCCTAGGGTTGTGGGTTTAGATGGGTTAGAGTTTGAGGGTGTACCTACCGCTGAAGGGTTCGCATTGGCCATTACCAGGAAGAGTCCTGCTATGTCCGAGTTGGATATCCACATTTTGGACCCATTGAGGAGGAAATCAGAACCGTCTTGTTTGGCGGTTGTTTTTAGAGAGAAAGCGTCTGAGCCGGATGTGGATTCGGTTAGGGCGAAACTGCTACTCTAAAAATTGGTCACTCAACTGGTTTCTAGGTAATTCAGCAAGTCTAGAAACAAACCAAATTTGATGCTAATTGCGGTAAATAAGTTTTTTTTTGCTCCTCTGTTCCTAGTTTTTTGATCACATTGTTTATAAGAGTGTTCTGAATGTCAACCAACACCGCAACTGAAGGATCCACTTTTGAAATTTCCTCAATGGTTAGTATTGTGGTCATAAAATTACACCCAGCACCCCCATATTCCGTGTCAATTTCAATACCCATTAACTGTAAACGTAGCGTTAAAATAACCCAGTTTTAAGACAGAAAATTTTGTTTACGCCATTACTAAACAGTGCGTCTATCACGGCTTGTTTGAATTTTCCCTCCTTTTCCATGTCTCTGACGTACGGAGATATCTGTTCCCGAGCTAAACGGGCCACTAGATTGTGAAACAAATAATAAATAGGTGACAATAAACATGACCTCGCAGCACATAAATAGCAAAAATGAAGTCATGTCGTGTACTTTTTTATTTCATTCTTACCCGTTTGCTTCATCACATTTTCGTCGTCGCTTAACAGCGTTAAAGGTAAATGACTTTCAAAGTTTTCGGCATGGTGCTGAAGTGTACTCACTGTGGAAAAAAGACGCTTTGTGTGGGGCTAAAACGGAAACAGTTACTTGTGTAATGTAAAATAATGTTGATTATACCCGTTTGAGAATATTTAACAGTGTATTCATTTTTATACAATTGAAAAAGTACGTGTTCGTCGAACAAATGCGAAAACTATATTGAACATACGTAGAAGCACTACAGTCAATGTGACTTAAGTGTAATGTCTTAAATTGTTAAAAACATTATAATGGTATTCACTTTCTATGCTTCGTTATCTTGTAGTGATATCATGTCGATAACTTTATGACGAAGTTGACTTATTATTATTATAACAACGCCGATAAAAGCAGGCATGAAAAATAGAGAACTTCTTTATAAAAGGTGATCATATTTTGCGTCGAATGGAAATCAGCCGAATATATAAATCTAAAGCATGCTTTTTATAGAACGAATTTAAACAACCGGAAATAGGTCGACGAGAAACGTTGGAAAGGGGAAAAATATGCAATTATCATGTTTTCACTTGAGACTGTATTGTTAGTTGCCTAAACAGTGGTGCTTTGAACACAATATAAAGCAAGGTATTTAGAAGTTTACCTCTAAATATCTTGCTCTATACTTGTGTGCAATTAAGGTAGGCAACCAAAAATACACGCATGATTAAAATAATTAAAAGGTGTATATACTTATTTCTTTGCAGGAAATTCAAAACATGTTTTTCTACCGCCCACGTTTTTCGGTTTTCTAATAGAGCTATTAACGCACGCAAATGACGTCACAGCAGTTCGTTAATAGCGGAAAGGCGTTCTTTAATAGATCTGGTGTAATTTAGATCGGTAAGATTGGTAGCCATGACGAGAAATGTCAGGTGAATGTCAGTGGCAAATGTAAACTTGAAATTTCCCATGTTTCCGGACGCGTAACTTCTTCGCAAGACATTTTAACCAATTTTAAATTACAAAAACTCGAATTGATTCAAATTACAGTTGTTGTTGTGAAAATTCGAACCTCAAATATTTCGTGGTTAGTGTCAGATCAACCCATTACCAACCACGACAAAAGTCCCTAGATTAAAAAAAATGCAAATTTCAATTAAATTTTGGGAAAAAACGTGTGCGGTAGAAAAAATAGTATAAATAACTCGTTCATAAGGCCATTGAGGCACTCATCCTTTATATAACTCGCGGCTTCGCCGCTCGTTCTATAAACTTGGATTCGTGCCTCAATATTTGCCTTATGAAACTCGTTCTTTAATATACTATTTTTCTACCGCCCACGTTTTTTGGTTTTCTAATAGAGCTATTAACGCACGCAAATGACGTCACAGCAGTTCGTTAATAGCGGAAAGGAGTTCTTTAATAGATCTGGTGTAATTTAGATCGGTAAGATTGGTAGCAATGACAAGAAATGTCAGGTGAATGTCAGTGGGAAATCTAAACTTAAAATTTCCCACGTTTCCGGACGCGTAACTTCTTCGCAAGACATTTTAACCAATTTTAAATTACAAAAACTCGAATTGATTCGAATTACAATTGTTGTTGTGAAAATTCGAACCTCAAATATTTCGTGGTTAGTGTCAGACCAACTCATCACCAACCACGACAAAAGTCCCCAGATTAAAAAAAATGCAAATTTCAATTAAATTTTGGGAAAAAACGTGTGCGGTAAAAAAAATAGTATAAATAACTCGTTCATAAGGCCATTGAGGCACTCATCCTTTATATAACTCGCGGCTTCGCCGCTCGTTCTATAAACTTGGATTCGTGCCTCAATATTTGCCTTATGAAACTCGTTCTTTAATATACTATTTGAATATCGTGTTGTTCAAAGAATACTATGTATATTAAGAAAACAGGCAAAATAGAAACCCCGCCCACCCACCCCATCTCAATTGTGATGATTTTTTTTATTAGAAAAATCACGTTAGAAATGGTAAATTTAATTAAGATTTTGCAATTAAATTCCGCTCGCTGGGCGGGGCCATGGTACAAGGAGACATGGTATAGGCATCCGATGTACCAATTTAAAAATGGTCTGCGCATCCATTTGTGACGTTAGGTGGCATCAACGACCTTGTGATTCTTGTGAGCTTCGCTAGGGAAGTCTAGGGAATTTCAGCTTGAGTTGTCATTGCTCTGTCCAATACGTCAATTAGTTGTCGGATAACGAATTGTATTTTAAATTTCGCGCTAATTTCACCCCACTTGACGTCACACCCGATGCGTATGCCTATACCATGTCTCCTTCTACCATGGGCGGGGCTTATATTTTGCCTTTTTTCTTAATATACAGCTGGTTTCACAAAAAACTGGAAAAATCACAGTGACATGAAAGTCATAATAGGCCTCGCCACATAGGCTGTGCTATGCTATGCTCATATTAAAACGTTATGTCTATGCTATGTAAAAAATACATTCACATAGCATGAACATGACATACAGTCACAGGTGGTGTTCACAACAGCCATGCCATAGAATAGTAGCAATTGGTAGCATAGCATAGTAGATGTGTGTTTATAAATAGTTATTAGTAAAAGCAGTGGTGAGTAAAAGTGGTCGTTCATTTTGAAACTTGTTGGTGTAGCTGACAATCTTAAATAAAAAAATTCACGAAGAGAACCTGATCGAATTACTTAAACTTTATTATTATTATGTGCAATATGCAGTGCAATATAGAAATACAATTTATAAAAGAAGAAAATTGAGAAGGCTTAGGTTAGAAGTTTGAATTTTCTCTAGACGCGCATGAGCCAAAAACCAAACATTACACAGAAGTAGGATTCCATTCTACTTTCATGCTATGTCGGATTATTTCGAGCTGTGTAATGTCTATGCTAGTTCTGTGTAAAAAGTACATAAAGCATAACATAATGGCTATGTGAACACTCTCATTTAAATGTATTGTGTCTACTTCTATGTTTTTCATTAACATAGCATAGCACAGCCTATGTGGCGAGGCCCTACTCCCATTGCTTTTCATTGATCTATGACAACCTGATTTGCTCATCTTTTCCAGTTTTTTGTGAAACCAGCTGTACGTAGTCGTCTTTTCAGAACAAGAAAGTTAAAACATGCTAAAAATGGTAAATTCTTGTTGACAAATATGCAACATGCAATTAAGCCCCACCCCTCGATCTGACAACGAATGAAAAATTCATTACAATTGAGATCGAGACGGATGGGTGGGGCTTCTCTTTTGGTAGTCTTTTTTAATTAAAACATATAGTTTTCTTTGTATAACACGATTACTTAAGAATATATTTCACATAGTAATTTCTCGTAGAAAAATAAGGAATTCTTAATTGCGAATTCGTCCTCGGCTTACAACGAGTAAAAAATATCATTAGAATTGAGATAGGGCGGGTGGGCGGGTCTTATATTTTACCTTTTTTTTTCTTAATATACATAACCATCTTTTCACAACAAGAAACTTAGAACATGGTTAAAACAAACAAATATGGATTTTGCAATTAGGGACAGAGTCTAATTGCAAAATCGATATTTCCTCTATACAAATTTAAAATATATTTTAAATTATTATATATTTTAAACATATTTTAAGTTTCATGTTGAGATGGAAAAATAGAAAAACTCCAAATTAAAAAATTTAAACTAAAAAAATCCTGATAAATCGAAAAATTGAAAAATCGAAAATATCGAAAAACCGAAAAACTGAATCGAAACAACAAAAAAGTAAAAAATCTAAAATTTAAAAATTCGAAAAAAGTCGAATTTTTTTGAAAAATAAAAAAAATAAACAGAAAGTCGAAAAATCTAAAAATTTAAAAATCGAAATCTTGAAAAATCCCAAAGTTGAAAAATCTCAAAATTTCAACAGAGAAATTGAAAAATCGGAAAATTAAAAAATCAATTAATCGAGAAATTGAGAAAACGAAAAATCGAAAAATTTACAAACGCCGAAAATTGAAAACTCCAATAATCGAAAACCTGAGAAATCGAAAAATTGAGATATCAAAATAGCTAAAGATCCAAAAATGGGAAAATTCAAAATTGAAAAATTTAAACTTAAAAAACCCGATAAACCTGAGAAAGCGAAATATCGAAAAACTGAAGAATTAAATCCGAAAGTTTTACAAATCGAAACAACAAAAACGTGAAAAATCTAAAATTTAAGAATTCAAAAAATCGAAAATTTACAAAATTGAGAAATCAAAACATCAACAAATGGAAAAATCAAAAAATTGAAAAATCGAAAAATGTAGAATTTAAAAAATGGCAAAATTTTGAAAAATCGAATAAGAATTAAAAAAAACAGAAATTCGAAAAATCGAAAAATTTGAAAATTTTCAAAACTTAAACATTGAAAAATTGAGAAATCGGAAAATCCTAAAATTTAGAAACGTCAAAAATTGAAAAGTCGAAAAATTTAAATACATAAGTGGCTAAAAATCGAAAAATAGGGAAATTCAAAATCGAAAAATTTTAACATAAAAAAAACCGATAACCCAAAAACTGAAAAATTAATTCCGAAAAATCTAAAAACGCGAAGGCGAAAAATCGAAAGAAAACCGTTAAATCGAGAATTGAAATATCGAAAAACTCAAAAATTAATTCGGAAAAATTGAAAAATCGAAATGAGAATGCACAAAATCGGAAGTTTTAAGAAATCGAAACAACAAAAAAGCGAAAAATCTAAAATTTAGAAATTTGGAAATTGGAAAAATGTAAGATTTAAAAAATCGCAAATTTTTGAAAAATCGAATAAGTAAAAAATCAAAAAAACAGAAAATCGAAAAATTGTAAATTTAAAAATCGAAATACATATGAAAAATCCCAAAACTTAAACATTGAAAATCTGAAAATCGAAAAATTGAGAAATCGAGAAATCGGAAAGACGAAGAATCGAAATGTCGAAAAATTAAAAAAATTATTATCGAGAAAATGAGAAATCGGAAAATCGAAAAATTTAGAAACACCAAAAATTGAAAAATCGGGAAATTGTGGAACTGAAGTGGCTAAAAATCTAAAAATCGGAAAATTCGAAATTGAAAAATTTTAACATAAAAAACCGATAAACCAAACAGTGAAAAATCGAAACGTCGAAATACTGAAATATTAATTCCGAAAAACTGAAAAACTGGGAAATCTAAAATCGAGGAATCAAAACATCAACGAATCGAAAAATCAAAAAATTGAAAAATCGAAAAATGTAGGATTTAAAAAATGGCAAAATTTTGAAAAATCGAATAACTAAAGAATTAAAAAAAAACAGATAAAATCGAAAAATCTAAAAATTTGAAAATCGAAATACATATTGAAAAATCCCAAAATTGAAAATTTTCAAAACTTAAACATTGAAAAATTGAGAAATCGGAAAATCCTAAAATTTAGAGACGCCAGAAATTGAAAAATCGCAAAATTTAAATACATAAATCCCAAAACTGAAACGTTGAAAAATTGGAAAATCGAAAAGTCGAAAAGATGAATTATGGAAAAACAGAAATCGAGAAATCGAATTCGAAAAATTTAGAAACACCAAAAATTGAAAAATCGGAAAATTGAGGAACTGAAGTGGTTAAAAATCGAAAAATCGGAAAATTCGAAATTGAAAAATTTTAACATACAAAACCGATAAACCAAACAGTGAAAAATCGTAACGTCGAAAAACTGAAATATTAATTCCGAAAAACTTAAAAACTGGAAAATCTAAAAAGGAGAAGATAAAAAAACGGAAGATTGAGAAATCGAAGCAACAAAAAAGTGAAAAAGATAAAATAAAAATTCGAAAAATTGTAAACAAAAAATCGAGCAATCAAAACATCAACGAATCGAAAAATCAATATTTTGAAAAATCGAATAATAAATAAAAAATCCCAAAACTTAAACATTGAAAACGTGAAAATCGAAAAATTGAGAAATCGGAAAGACAAAAAATCGAAAAGTCGAAAAATTAAAAAATCCATTAAGTGAGAAACTGACAAATCTGAATATTCAAAAATTTAAAAACGCCAAAAACTGAAAAATCGGGAAATTGAGGAATTAAAGTGGCTAAAAATCGAAAAATCGGAAAATTCGAAATTGAAAAATTTTAACATAAAAAACTGATAAACCAAACAGTGAAAAATCGAAACGTCGAAAAACTGAAAAATCAATTCTAAAAAATTAATTCCGAAAAATTGAAAAACCGGAAAATCTAAAAAGGAGAAAGAAAAGATGAATTATCGAAAAACAGAAATCGAGAAATCGAAACCGAAAAATTGAGAAATGAGAGTGGTTAAAAATCGAAAAATGGAGAAATTCAAAATCGAAAAATTTTAACATAAAAAAACCGATAAACCAAAAAGTGAAAAATCCAAACGTCGAAAAACTGAAAATTAATTCCGAGAAATCTAAAAACGAGAAGGCGAAAAATCGAAAGAAAACCGTTAAATCGGGAATTGAAATATCGAAAAACTGAAAAATTAATTCGGAAAAATTGAAAAATCGAAAAATGTGAATGCAAAAAATCGAAAAATTTGTGAAATCGAAACAACAAGAAAGTGAAAAATCTAAAATTTAGAAATTCGAAAAATAAGTAAAAAATCAAAAAAATCAGAAAATTTAAAAATCGAAATACATAATGAAAAATCCCAAAACTTAAACATTGAAAATCTGAAAATCGAAAAATTGAGAAATCGAGAAATCGGAAAGACGAAGAATCGAAAAGTCGAAAAATTAAAAAATCCATTATCGAGAAAATGAGAAATCGGAAAATCGAAAAATTTAGAAACGCCAAAAATCGAAAAATCGGAAAATTCGAAAAATTGTAAACAAAAAATCGAGCAATCAAAACATCAACGAATCGAAAAATCAATATTTTGAAAAATCGAGTAAGTAAAAAATCCCTTAAACATTGAAGATTTGAAAATTGAAAAGTCGAAAAATTAAAAAATCCATTAAGCGAGAAATTGACAGATCTGAAAATCCAAAAATTTAGAAACGCCAAAAATTAAAAAATCCAGAAATTTAAATCTATAAATTCCAAATCTGGAACGGTAAAAAATTGGAAAATCGAAACATCAAAGGATCGAGACGTCGGGAAGTTGAAAAATTGAGAAATTGAAGTGGCTAAAAAGTAACGTCGAAAAACTGAAAAATCAATTCTAAAAAATTAATTCCGAAAAATTGAAAAACCGGAAAATCTAAAAAGAAGGCGAAAAATCGAAAGACTGAGAAATCGAAACAACAAAAAAGCGAAAAATCTAAAATGTAAAAATTCGAAAAATTGAAAATTTACAAAATCGAAGAATCAAAACATCAACAAATCGAAAAATAAAAAAATTGAAAAATCGAAAAATGTATGATTGAAAAAGTGGGTGAAAAGAAGTATACACATATTAAAATAAAAAGGCAAAATGAAAGCCCGCCCACCCGCCCTATCTCAATTGTAATGATTTTTTTTAATTCGCCGTGAACCAAGGGGGCGGAGCTTAACTACAAAATACTTGAATAATATGACACCAAAAACATGTTTATAATTGCACCTAGAGAAATAAGAATTTTGCAGTTAAGCTCCGCCCCCTTGGTTCACGGCGAATTAAAAAAAATCATTACAATTGAGATAGGGCGGGTGGGCGGGGCTTATATTTTGCCTTTTTTCTTAATATACGTAGTCGTGTTTTCAGAACAAGAAACTTAAAACATATTTCAAATGGTAAATCCTTGTAGACAAATATGGATCTTGCAATTAAGCCCCACCTCTCGATCTAACAACGAATGAAAAATTCATCACAATTGAGAATTGAGATTGGGGTGGGTATGGGTAGGGCCTTATCTTTGGCTTTATTTTTTTTTTTTAATATAGGTACATAGTATTCTTTGAACAACACGATACTCAAAAACATGGTTTTAATTTCTTGTAGAAAAATAAGGATTTTGCAGTTAAATTTCGCCTTCTTGGCTCACGACGAATAAAAAAAAATCATCACAATTGAGATCGGGTGGGTGGGCGGGGCTATATTTTGCCCTCAACTGGTAAATTTTTGCAGTAATCAACTTAAATTCTCGTCCATCAAGAAACAAGAATTTGAAAATATAACCCGATTTATTAAGATTTTGCTGTCAATAATTCAGTATTACCAATACAAAAAAAAAAACTGCGTCTTTACCAAATAAGTTCGCTTTATTTAATACAAACTCATATAAAAATACATCTTCAGCACCCCATCCCTCAGTTCTTATACTCTCTCTCAATCTGCTTGGCGATCGTACTCAGCTGAATATTATACGTCCCTTCGTAGATGCTACCAATCTTTACATCCCTGTAGAACTTCTCTTGAATAAAGTCTTTGCTGAAGCCGACTCCGCCCATCCAGTCGATACATTTAACACAAGCTCTTTGGGCCACATCTGCGGCGTACCACTTCGCCATAGCGCCTTCCTTCAGCACAGGTTCGCCCCTTTCCAGCAACCTGGCTGCGTTGTACACCATAAGCCTAGCGGCTTCGATTTCGGTGGCCACTTCGGCTATTTGGTGCTGCATACTCTAAAATAGGCAAAATATTAACTAAATAGGTAACTAATCACGATGATAGCGTACCTGGAAACTAAAGATCGGTTTTCCAAACTGGGCCCTCTCCATGGTGTATGGAATAGTCGCATCGAAACACCCTTGTGCCAACCCAATCATCTGAGCCCCGATTCCTATGCGCCCTTCGTTCAAGAACTCAATAGCGTACTTGTACCCTTTCCCGAATTCCCCCAAGATGTTCGACTCTGGTACTCTGACATTATCGAAGGTCAACATGCACGTCCCGGAGGCTGCGATTCCCAGTTTTTTCTCAGGTCTGTTGATAGTGAAGCCAGGGGTGTCCCTTTCCACTATGAAGCACGTGATGCCCTTATAACCCTACAACGACGACAAGTTTATGGATGCAACGGAAAGGACGATTGTAGTTACCGCCGAAGGGTTGGCGTTTGCCATGACCAGGAATATTCCCGCCAAATCCGAATTCGAAATCCACATTTTGGAGCCGTTGATGATGTAATCACTGCCATCTTTTTTCGCGGTGGTTTTCAAACTGAAGGCGTCTGATCCTGAAGATGGTTCGGTTAGAGCGAAACTGCTCACCTGCAAAAAGGTGGCTGGTCTAATAATAGATGTTAATGCGAGTGGGTTTCTATATGAAGGTCAAGGTTAGTACGTGGAATTTAAAAGTGTTTACTGCAGAGCTGTCACAAATATTTAATGAGATATTTTATAAAGTTAATATTTATTTGGCTTCGCTATTATGTAATTTAATGAGTAAATGGAGGATTTGCAAATACAAAGGTTAATCTGTGAATTTATGTACCCTGTTTATTGTATTGGTCCTGTGATAAAAATTTCAACGTATCACCTGGCTTAAAAATTGACTTTATCTTCCAGGTATTGTTTTTTTAAATCATAAACAAGTATTTCTTAATCCACGTCCGCTGGGTAAGTGTGTTGTTGACACTGTTTAAAATCGTTATTATATCGAGATGATATAGTCAGAGAACACAGAGAAGCGTCATAGTTTAAATTAAATGACGGTTGAGGACTCCTCGACTTATGTTATAGATTTTTTTATTTTTAAAATTTTAGATTTTTCGATTTCTCGATTTTTCAGTTCAGTTCTTCGATATTTGAATTTTTCATGTTTTCGAATTTTTCAAATGTTTCGATTTCTTAATCTTTTGATTTTTAGATTTTCTGTTTTTCAACTGTCATTTTGTCAAATTTTCGATTTTTTAAGTTTTCAAATTTGACTTTCACACACTTTCAATTTTTCGATTTTTCAATTAATCGATGTTTTGATTTTCCCATTTCTTGACTTTCGAGGGTTTCGATACTGTTGTCCTTCAATTCTTTAATTTTTCGATTTTTTAGTTTTTTTAAGGTTTCGATTTTTCGACTTCACTTCTTGGATTTTTCGATTGCTCAATTTTTCAACTTTTTAGGTTCTCAGTTTTTTGGATATTTCAGTTTTCGGATTTTTCAGGTTTTCCATTTTTCAGTTTTAGGATATCTCTATTTGGGATTTTTCAATATTTCGAGTCTTCGACTTTTCAATTTTGGACTCCTGGATTTTTCGATGCGTTGATTATTTTACTTTCTCGATTATTAAATTTTAATTTTTTAATTTATAAAATTTTAGATTTTTTTATTTTTAAAATTTTAGATTTTTCGATTTCTCGATTTTTCAGTTCAGTTCTTCGATATTTGAATTTTTCAAGTTTTCGAATTTTTCAAATGTTTCGATTTTTGATTTTTAGATTTTCTGTTTTTCAATTGTCATTTTGTCAAATTTTCGATTTTTTAAGTTTTCAAATTTGACTTTCATAAACTTTAAATTTTTCGATTTTTCAGTTAATCGATGTTTTGATTTTGCCATTTCTTGACCTTCGAGTGTTTCGATTTTCCTGTTCTTCAGTTCTTTAATTTTTTGATTTTTCGATATTTCAGTTTTGGGATTTTTCAATATTTCTGTTCTTCGACTTTTCCATTTTTGACTTCTGGATTTTTCGATGTGTCGACTTTTTACTTTTTCGATTTTTAAATTTTAAATTTCTCAATTTTTTGGTATTTTAATTTTTCAATATTTAAAATTTTAGATTTTTCGATTTCTCGATTTTTCATTTCAGTTCTTCGATATTTCAGTTTTTCAAGTTTTCGAATTTTTTCAAATGTTTTGATTTCTTAATCAATCGATTTTTCGATTTCCCTGTTTTAGATTTTCTGTTTTTCAGTTGTCGCTTTTTCAAATTTTCGATTTTTCAATTTTTCAAATTTCACATTTATAAACTGTCAATTTTTCGATTTTTCAAATAATCCATGTTTTGATTTTCCCATTTCTTGACTTTCGAAGGGTTTCGATATTCCTATTCTTCAACTCTTTGATTTTTCGATTTTTCAGGTTTTTGATTTTTTATTTTTTAAGTTTTATAAGGTTTCAATTTTTCGACTGCACTTTATGGACTTTTTAGGTTCTCAGTTTTTGGATATTTCAGTTTTCGAATTTTTCAGGTTTTCCATTTTTTTTTTCATTTTTCAGTTTTTCGATATTTCAGTTTTGGGATTTTTCAATATTTTGATTCTTCGACTTTTTGAGTTTTGGCTTCCGGAGTTTTCGATGTGTCGATTTTTTTACTTTTTCGATTTTTCAATTTTTCAATTGCTTAATCTTTCGATTTTTCGACTTTCCTGTTTTAGATTTTCTGTTTTCAATGGTCGTTTTAAATTTTTCGATTTTTCAATGTTTTGATTTCCCGATTTAGTTTCCCATTTTTAGTTTTTCTTTCATTTTTCAGTTTTTCGATATTTCAGTTTTGGGATTTTTCAATACTTCGATTCTTCGATTTTTCGATTTTTGACTCCTGGATTTTTTGATGTGTCGATTTTTTTAGTTTTTTGAATTTTTCAAATGTTTCGATTTCTTAATCTTTTGATTTTTCGACTTCCCAGTTTTAGATTTTCTGTTTTTCAAATGTCATTTTGTCATATTTTCGATGTTTTAATTTTTCAAATTTGACTTTTATAAACTCTCAATTTTTCGATTTTTCAATTAATCGATCTTTTGATTTTCCCATTTCTTGGCCTTCGAGTGTTTCGATTTTCCTGTTGTTCAATTCTTTAATTTTTTGATTTTTCAGGTTTTTGATTTTTCAATTTTTGAGTTTTTAAATTTTAGATTTTTCAATCTTTTCATATTTTAATTTTTCAATATTTCTTAATCTTTCGATTTTACGACTTCCCGGTTTTAGATTTTCTGTTTTTCAATTGTCGTTTTTTCAAGTTTTCGATTTTTAAATTTTAGATCTTTCAGTTTTTTGATATTTTAATTTTTCTATATTTAAAATCTTAGATTTTTCGATTTCTCGATTATTCATTTCACTTCTTCGATATTTCAGTTTTTCAAATTTTCAATTTTTCAATTTTTCGATTTTTCAATTCATTTCTTGACTTTCGAGGGTTTTGATATTCCTGTTCCTCAATTCTTTAATTTTAATTTTTGGATTTTTCAGGTTTTTGATTTTTTATTTTTTAATTTTTTTAAGGTTTCAATTTTTCAACTGCACTTTTTGGATTTTTCTATTGCTCAATTTTTCGACTTTTTAGGTTCTCAGTTTTTGGATATTTCAATTTTTGGGATTTTTCAGGTTTTCCCTTTTTTTTACATTTTTCAGTTTTTCTTCGACTTTTCGATTTTTGGCTTCTGGAGTTTTCGATGTGTCGATTTTTTAACTTTTTAGATTTTTCGATTTTTTTACTTTTTCGATTTTTCAATTTTTCGATTGCTTAGTCTTTCGATTTTTCGTTCCCGGTTTTAGATTTTCTGTTTTCAATTGTCGTTTTAAATTTTTCGATTTTTCAATGTTTTGATTTCCCGATTTAGTTTCCTATTTTTAGTTTTTCTTTCATTTTTCAGCTTTTCGATTTTTCAGTTTTATTCAATATTCCGATTTTTGACTCCTGGAATTTTCGATGTGTCGATTTTTTTAGTTTTTCAATTTTTCAATTTTTATATTTTATATTTTTTAATTTTTAAAATTTCAGATTTTTCGATTTCTCGATTTCTCAGTTCATTTCTTCGATATTTGAATTTTTCAAATGTTCGATTTCTTAATCTTTTGCTTTTCAACATCCCGGTTTTAGATTTTCTGTTTTTCAATTGTCATTTTGTCAAATTTTCGATTTTTTTAATTTTTCAAATTTGACTTTTATAAACTCTCAATTTTTTGATTTTTCAATTTTTCGATTTTTTAAGGTTTCTATTTTTCGACTTCATTTTTTTGATTATTCGATTTTTCAGTTTTTAGATATTTCAGGTTTAGGATTTTTCAAAATTTCAATTCTTCAGCTTTTCTATTTTTGACTTCTGGGTTTTTCGATGTGTCTACCTTTTTACTTTTTCGATTTTTCAATTTTTGGATTTCTAAATTTTAGATTTCAATCTTTTGATATTTTAATTTTTCAATATTTTTTAATCTTTCTATTTTTCAACTTCCTAGTTTTAGAGGTTGTGTTTTTCAATTTTTCGATTTGTTAATTTTTCATTCCCGATTTATCGAGATTTGATTGTTCAGGTTTTCGATTTATCATTTTTTCAATTTTTTATTTTGGCCTATTTGGGTTTCTCAGTTTTTCCAGTTTTCCATTTGTTCGTTTTTTGATTTTTCCGCTTTTCTAATTTTTCAACTTTTAACTTTTTCTTTGTCGATTTCTCTATTTTTCGATTTTTTGACTTCATCACTTTTCGATTTCTCGTTCTTTGGATTTTTCGATATTTTGATTGTCAATTTCTCAATTTATAAACTGTTCAATTTTTAATTTTTCGATTTTTAGATTTTGACCTATTTCGGTTTCTCAATTGTTCGACATTTTGACTCAACGATTTCTTGATCTTTTGATTTTTCGACTTCCCGGTTTTGGATTTTCTGTTTTTCAATTGTCGTTTTTTCAAATTTTCGATTTTTCAATTTTTCAAATTTAGCATTTATAAACTGTCAATTTTTCATTTTTACAATTAATCGATGTTTTGATTTTCCCATTTCTTGACTTTCGAGGGTTTCGATATTCCTGTTCTTCAATTCTTTAATTTTTCGATTTTTCATTTTTTAGTTTTTTAAGGTTTCGATTTTTCGACTTCACTTTTTGGATTTTTCTATTGCTGAATTTTTCGACTTTTTAGATTCTCAGTTTTTGGATATTTCAGTTTTCGGATTTTTCAGGTTATTAGATTCTCAGTTTTTCTTTCATTTTTGAGTTTTTCGATATCTCAGTTTTGGGATTTTTCAATATTCCGATTCTTCGACTTTTCGACTTTTGACTCCTGGATTTTTCGATGTGTCGATTATTTTACTTTTTCGATTTTTAAATTTTAGATTTTTCAGTTCCTGGATTTTTCAGTTCAGTTCTTCGTTATTTGAATTTTTCAAATGTTTCGATTTCTTAATCTTTTGATTTTTCGACTTCACGGTTTTAGATTTTCTGTTTTTCAATTGTCATTTTCTCATATTTTAGATTTTTTAACTTTTCAAATTTGACTTTCATAAACTCTCAATTTTTCGAATTTTCAATTAATCCATGTTTTGATTTTTCCATTTCTTGACCTTCGAGTGTTTCGATTGTCCTGTTCTTCAGTTCTTTAATTTTTTGGTTTTTCAGTTTTAGGATTTTTCAATATTTCAATTCTTCGGCTTTTCTATTTTTGACTTCCGGGGTTTTTCGATGTGTTCAATTTTTGGACTTTTAAATTTTAGATTTTTCAATCTTTTGATATTTTAATTTTTCAATATTTCTTAATCTTTCGAGTTCCTGGTTTTAAATGTTCTGTTTTTCAATTTTTCGATTTGTTAAATTTTCATTCCCGATTTATCCAGATTTGATTGTTCAGGTTTTCGATTTATAATTTTGTCAATTTTTTATTTTGGCCTATTTCGGTTTCTCAGTTTTTCCAGTTTTACATTTTTTCGTTTGTTGATTTTTCCCCTTTTCCAATTTTTCAACTTTTAACTTTTTGTTTGTCGATTTCTCTATTTTTAGATTTTTCGACTTCATCACTTTTCGATTTCTCGTTCTTTGGATCTTTCAATCTCTCAATTTTTTAATTTTTCGAATTTTTTAGTTTTTTGATTTCTCGATTTATCGAGATTTGGATTTTTCGATATTTTGATTGTCAATTTCTCAATTTATAAACTGTTCAATTTTTAATTTTTCGATTTTTAGATTTTGACCTATTTCGGTTTCTCAATTGTTCGACATTTTGACTCAACGATTTCTTGATCTTTTGATTTTTCGATTTCTCGGTTTTTCGATTTTTCAGTTATCCGATTTTTTAAATTTGGGAGTTTCGATTTCTCGATTTTTCGTTATTCGGTTTTTAAATTTTTGAATTTTACATTTTTTCGATTTTCTGATGTTTAATTTTTCGATTTTCAGTTCTTCGATATTTCGATTTTTCAATGTTTCAGTTTTACGATTTTTTAAGGTTTCGATTTATTAGATTTCTCGATTTTTCGAATTTTCGATTATTTTGATTCTTAATTTTTTTTTCTCACTGTTATTATCATACAGTGTATCGAAAACAACCACAAAAATTTTCACTAAAAACATTTAAAAATTCATACAAATAGAACATAGTGTTTCCAAAACATTTTCCCGAAAAAAATCCATTAGAGTCGACATTGGCCCGCTCTGATCTGTAGATCAAACAAGTTCTCAGGCGACGAGTTGTAGTGAAACAAGTTATCATACTAATCTATGATACAGTGAACTGCACTTAAGTCAGTACACTTAAGTAAGAAGTTTTAAAATTACATACAAGCTTTTGATCTCTCAGGTTACGACCTTTAAGTTGTTTTTTATTTACTGAGGTATAAGTAATTATTTGCCATTCGCTGTTATCACTATCAGTACAGATCAAGATTAAATATTGTTTACAGAAAACATCTCGATAGTGCAAAATAAAAAGTTCTTGAAGGCGAATTTTGTGTAATAAAATTTATCTACACGTGTTTTCAGTGATGAAATATATAAAAAACCAGTAAAACGGATCATTTTTTTTGTACGTTACTTTATCACCACAATGTACACCAAATTGGTGACGTATTCTAGATTGGTGACATTTATCTGATTTGAATATATCTTACGAGGTCAAGTTTTGTTCATTACCATTTATTCATGCATCGTTTAATTAGCATGGTGAAGGTCAAATCGTTAAGATAACGACGAAGTTATCAATATTTAAAAAATTGTTTTAGACGGTGATAATTTCTTTGATGTGTAATCAACCGTAAATATGTTCACCTGGATTTTTTTTCTTTATTTGAAAGTAAAAATCAACGTATATATAAAAATAACTAAGGACACGTTAACAAGTTTGTAAAGTAATTAAAGCACAAAAAATTTGATAATAACTCATTTAAGTAATAAACCAATATGACCTTTACATACTTTAAATGGTGAAATAAACTCCAGTATGGTAACAATTACAAACACGCGACTTTTACCAATGTTTCTATTAATAAACACAAAAATTATGTAGTAAAGTTCCACAACAAATAAACAAATTAATTAAGACGCACAATATGGACTCACCGTATCAGCTGCAAGTCGTGGCAAATATTTCTTCTTCTGTTCTTCGTTACCCAACTGAATAACCACATTATTAATCAGCGTATTTTGAAGATCGACCAAAATCCCCAGCGATGGATCAACTTTCGAAATTTCTTCCACTGTTAGAATAGTCGTCATAAAATTACACCCAGCGCCGCCGTATTCCGTGTCAATTTGAACACCCATCAACTTCAAAATAAAAAAAATTAAATTTAATATTACACAAATTCAAACCCATTTACCCCGTTTTGGAAAAGAAGATCGATGATGGACGGTTTAAATTTCCCGTCGTTGTCCATTTCTCGAACATGTGGGGCGATTTGTTCCTGCGCCAATCTAGCGACTAGTACACATTTTTTAATTCAGGAGTGCCAGTTTTTGCTTAAGTTTTACCTGTTTCTTTCATGGCTTGTTCATCTTCGCTGAGGGTGGTCAGCGGCAGACGCGTGTTTGTGGCCTCCGCGGCGTCCACTTGTTCTTGTGTTTGTTGGAGTTTTTTCACGCCGCTGAAAATATGTCGAACTGCTTGGCCATTGGCCGAAATCTAACAAAGTCACGAATTTTTTCACTATATTTTCGTGTTAAATAATTACTTACTTTGTTTGTTACTTTGAATAAGGTGTTCATGGTGTGGTCGTTGCGTTGTTACTGGATGGAATTCGCCTACTACCTACCATGTACCATAGCCTCCACTGACATCAAATCAACTGATCAACACAGCCGCGTAACCTTGTATTTGTAAAAGTGATAATTCGAATAATGGTCTTTTATCGGATATTCGGTGGCGCTTTTTTAAATCTTTTGCTTGACGTAGCGGTTTTATGATGAAATGTGTGTTTAATGAGCTTTATTTAGACTTAAGTTATGTTATATTATTATTAACATATGTATTTGCACTAAAAAAAAATTTGTTTAACCTGTTTTTTTTCCGAGAGTAGGTATATCTTACATATTATGAAATATTTTTTGTGTGGCAACGACTTTGTTGTCACTCTGTGTATTAGTCTTGAGTTAAGAAAGGGGAATTAACTGACCAAAGTTCAAATGATTCAATCTAACTTATTATTTGCGTTAATTTATCATGGTTCATGGAGAGTCAATGTCGTAAATAATTTCCTAAGTACTTGCATCACACGTTGTTGATGTACGAATGCATTTTGTGTTGCAAAAGTATGAAAGAAAAAAATTGAACAGTTATTCAGCAAAAATTTTTTTTTTTTTAATTTATTAGATACTGTGGAAATAGGTACAGTGGTACTAGTGGAATATTTTGCGGAACTTGATAATTCACTGGAGCTAACTGACGAAATATCTTGCTACGTATGAAAAAACAATACAATAATTTGATTGATAGTGGACAAAACAAGGTCGAATTTCAGTATAGCGATACAGAATTTAGAGCAGCTTGTTGATATGGAATGCATGCATTTTGATAATTGTTGTTTATATTTAACATATCAGTAAACGAATATTTTGTAATACAATATTTGCAGGGGTCAACTGATTTAAAAATTGGTCTAGAGTTAATTACATAGATATAATAATTTCCTTTGTACATACCTGATAATCAGATAAGTCTAGTTTTGTGGATGAAATTCTAAATTAAAAAAATTGGTCTAAAGAGTTTAGACAGTACTTCCCTCGCTGTCGGAAACTTGACGACTGCATGTCTATTGTGTTTTTTTTCTCATTACATTTTTGTAGTGGGAATTTAAAAAAAAATTGCGATGACGTCATCAACATTTTTGCAAGGACACGTATATCAGTTGGGATAGATGTAGTGTAATACTAAGAATAAAATTATTATATTCTCAAATTTTCGGGAAAATGAATTGGGTCGTTTTGAATATTGATTTGTAATAATCAATAAAATAACGAAACAATTTACTCACGTATACGTATCAGAGGCAACTGAAAATCGTGTATGTATAAACATTCTTAATTTAAGATGACAGGCGTAACAGCATACGTGAGAGTCAAACAGAGAAACTGTAAACAAAACGACCATCGGTTTTATTGCTTCGACTTCCGCTTATTATATAAAACATTGGGTTTTATTTTAATTCTTGACGGTGAAATTCACAATTGGTTGATTATAAACATGTCTATTTCACATTCGCGGAACCAAGTGAGCGCATAAAACAAATGCAGGTCTGTAATGTTAAAGTCGATGTAAATAAGCGTGCTACCCTTATGTTTCAACCGAGTTTTTCCTTTAACAAATTTTGTGTCTACCAAATTGGGTTGGTTGGGGTGTAATACTAATAATAAGTGTTGCCTTTAATTTAATCAATAAAATAAATTGACTTCATTAATTTTTTTGAACCACCTCTTAAGAAAATCTAAAAAATATGAATGGAATGATAAATCACAAGTACAAACTCATCATATTTTTTGCATTTTAGATAGGATTTATTCAGCAAAATTTGAGGGTGACGTCATCAATTTTTTTAGGAGGGATGAACAAATACATTTTGAACAAAAGTTTACCATGCTTATAATAACTTTAAAATATTCCCAAGATTTCAAAGCATTCGGTTTTGTAATTCCTGATTAAATCGATAAAATAAATTCACGCCTTCATTAATTTTTTTGAGTCACCCTGCATATGCAAATCCAAAAATATGAATGGAATGATAAATCACAAGTACGGACTCATCATATTTTGTACATTTTAGATACGATTTATTCGGCAAACTTTTGAGCTGACGTCATCAGTTTTTTGTAGAAGATAACCAAATATACTCGTATTTTGACTAAAAATTTATTATGCTCTTTATAACCTTAAAACATCTGCAAGATTTCAAAGCATTCGGTTTTGTAGTTCCTGATTAAATCAATAAAATAAATTTACGCATTCATTAATTTTTTTGAGTCACCCTGTATATGCAAATCGAAAAAATTTGAATGGAATGATAAATCACAAGAAGAGACTCACCATATTTTGTACATTTTAGATAGGATTTATTCAGCAAAATTTTGTGGTGACGTCATAAATTTTTTATGGGGGACGACCAAATACGTTTTGATCAAAAATTTACCATGCTTATGATAATTTTAAAATATCTTCAAGATTTCGAAGCATTCGGTTTTGTAGTTCCTGAGTAAATCAGTAAAATAAATTTACGCTTTCATTTATTTTCTTGAATCACCCTGTATATGCAAATCCAAAAAATATGAATGGAGTGATAGATCACAAGTACAGACTGATCATATTTTGTACATTTTAGATATGATTTATTCGTCATCAAGTTTTTGGAGGGGATAAGCAAATATATTTTGACTAAACATTTATTATGCTCTTTATAACCTTAAAACATGTGCAAGATGTCAGAGCATTCCGTTTTGTAGTTCCTGATTAAATCAATAAAATATATTTACGCATTCATTAATTTTTTTGAGTCACTCTGTATATGCAAATCCAAAAAATATGAATGGAGTGATAAATGACAAGTACAGGCTCATCATATTTTGTACATTTTAGATATGATTTATTCGGCAAACTTTCGAGCTGACGTCATCAAGTTTTTGGAGGGGATAAGCAAATATATTTTGACTAAACATTTATTATGCTCTTTATGACCTTAAAACATCTGCAAGATTTCAAAGCATTCTGGTTAGCAGATTAAAAATTAAATTTCAAAATGTTGTTTTATAATTTTGATTTTTTTTCCAAAAATCTGGACGTTTCGGGTGAAAAGTCGATTCAGAGTTGTAAACTACATGTGTAGGACTATGTTATTTTATACAATTGAAAACCCATTTACTATGTACAATTTTGAAGTGACGTCATCGCTTTAGTGGTGGGGATGATTAGACAAATTTTGGTTAGCGTTTTACCATCTACATGATATTGTTAATATAAGTACAAAATTTCACAACAATCGGTCGAGTACTTTCGGAGATTATCTGTCTAATAAAAATCCGGGACAACAGACGGACAGACGGACAGACGGACAGACGGACGGACAGACGGACAGAGGGACAGACGGACAGACAGACGGAAATGGGAGACCTATTTCTTCGTCTTCTAGGGGTCATGAAAGATCGAGAAAACGTAAAAGTAGAGAGTCGGCCGACGGACTCGATTACAATACTTCATATAATAAGTTTAACTCAAAATGTGTAAAATATGATGAGTTTTAACATAAGCAACTGTGGCCTGTGGTTTAGTGGAGGTGGAGTGTGCAGTGCAATTAGAAGTTCCGGTAACAGATCCCGGCACTTCCAACTTTTTCGCCCATCAAATCAAGAACAGCACTTCCGATTTTCGCAACAATAATGTTATAATATTTATTTATTTGTTATTGTGTGTTCGTGAATAAGCACCATAAATAGCAAATGTTGAAATTTTTTTTTGTGATCGGAAGAATATCTCTTAATCATTTTATATATTGTCAATACATGATTAACTTCGACTGTTAATGTTTATACATCGAGAGAAGCAGAGAAAAAGTACATACGCATTTGCTTCAGTTACGCCACTGACCGTGTCATTTCTTTATCGCACGTTGAGACATAGTTTATATAAACAAACTCCCAGCCATAGCAAAAAGCGGAAGTTGGAAACGACGAGCGGCGCGGGGGGAATCACTTGTTTGGGTGGCGAGACGAAACAGTTGCGATTGCGAAATGCGAAGCCAATTCGAAAAAAACTGTTGAAGAGTGAGTGTCATTGAGGATATATATCTCCAAATTTTAAAAATTGGACCAAGTTACAATAATTGTTGCCAGGTAAGTGCAGATATTTTGGATTTGCATATACGGGGTGATTCAAGAAAATAAATGAAAGCGTAAATTTATTTTACTGATTTACTCAGGAACTACAAAACCGAATGCTTCGAAATCTTGAAGATATTTTAAAATTATCATAAGCATGGTAAATTTTTGATCAAAACGTATTTGGTCGTCCCCCCTAAAAAATTTATGACGTCACCACAAAATTTTGCTGAATAAATCCTATCTAAAATGTACAAAATATGGTGCGTCTCTTCTTGTAATTTGTCATTCCATTCAAATTTTTTCGATTTGCATATACAGGGTGACTCAAAAAAATTAATGAATGCGTAAATTTATTTTATTGATTTAATCAGGAACTACAAACCCGAATGCTTTGACATCTTGCAGATGTTTTAAGGTTATAAAGAGCATAATAAATTTTTAGTCAAAATATATTTGGTTATCTTCCACAAAAAACTGATGACGTCAGCTCAAAAGTTTGCCGAATAAATCGTATCTAAAATGTACAAAATATGATGAGTCTGTACTTGTGATTTATCATTCCATTCATATTTTTGGATTTGCATATGCAGGGTGACTCAAAAAAATTAATGAAGGCGTGAATTTATTTTATCGATTTAATCAGGAATTACAAAACCGAATGCTTTGAAATCTTGGGAATATTCTAAAGTTATTATAAGCATGGTAAACTTTTTTTCAAAATGTATTTGTTCATCCCTCCTAAAAAAATTGATGACGTCACCCTTAAATTTTGCTGAATAAATCCTATCTAAAATGCAAAAAATATGATGAGTTTGTACTTGTGATTTATCATTCCATTCATATTTTTTAGATTTTCTTAAGAGGTGGTTCAAAAAAATTAATGAAGTCAATTTATTTTATTGATTAAATTAAAGGCAACACTTATTATTAGTATTACACCCCAACCAACCCAATTTGGTAGACAAAAAATTTGTTAAAGGAAAAACTCGGTTGAAACATAAGGGTAGCATGCTTATTTACATCGACTTTAACATTACAGACCTGCATTTGTTTTATGCGTTCACTTGGTTCCGCGAATGTG